GCAACACGTGCTCTTGCTAAAGATCACTACGGCTTTCTTCCCGGCCATCTTTGCTATTACGTCCATTTTTTTAAAGCTTAGAAATGACAAAGAGATGAAGTTGAATGTTAGCCAGGTTTGTAGCAGCTGAAAGGGATTGGTGTGTATTTATATAGGAAAGGAGGAGCTAAAGCCAAGCTTGAAAGTATATAATAAAAAGGTTAGTAAATTAATTAATGATATCATTGAAAAGAATTGAAGATATTTCATTTTAATATTTGCATCCCAACCCTTTTTGTTTTTTCCTTTCTTTTTTAGGGAATCATTAATAAAAAACGAAATTTAAACCGTAAAGGAAGATATGCTCGTAAACTGTTCAACATAGAATCCGAGTGAGTTGTGTAACAACTCAAGCCCACCGCTAGTAGATATTATCCGCTTTGACCCGTTACGTATTACCGTAAGTATCACAGTTTTAAAACATGTCTGTTAGGAGAGGTTTCCACCCCTTATAAGAAATATTTCCTCCCCCTCTCCAACCAATGTGAGATCTCACAATTCATCCCTTTGTGGTCCCAGCATGACACACTGCCCAGCCCAGTGTCTGACTCTGATACCATTTGTAATAGCTCAAGCCCACCGCTAGTAGAAATTGTCTACTTTGGCTCGTTATATATTACCGTCAACCTCATGGTATTAAAAAGCGTATGCTAGGAGAGATTTTCACATCTTTATAAAGAATACTTCATTCTCTTCTCTAATTAGTATGAGATCTCACGATCTATCCTTTGTGGTCCCAGCATCCTCGCTGGCACACTATCCAATATCTGGCTTTAATATCATTTGTAACAACTCAAGCCCACCGCTAGCAGAAATTGTCTGCTTTGGTTCGCTATGTATTACCATCAGCCTCACGGTATTAAAACACATGCTAGGAGAGGTTTTCACATCTTTATAAAAAGTACTTTTTTCTCCTCTCTAATTAGTGTGGGATCCCATAGTTTGTCTCATGTATTTCCCCTTTAATTTTACTAAAAACACTGTTCAACATAGTTACAACTTTTATAACCGTTCATGTACGAGAGATAATAACTTTTTGTAATCATTATTTAATCATTATATGAGTGACATGTACGTTGTTAGCAAACTGCAGAGAAGTTTCGTGGGAATCTCAGATCTCATTAGCTCAATGGACGAAAGCGAGTCTTCTAAAACTACTTATACATATGTTATTCGAGAGAATATCGAAAGAAGAAAAAAGATTAAGAATCTTTGACCTCTTCAAAACTATTACAGGAACAAAAACAACCTAACCGTTGAACTTTTGCTACGGTTGGCTTTATATATTAGGTTATGAGTATCAAATTTACGAATGGAATCATGAAACGATAATTTCTAATAATTATTTTCGTGTGAGATAAATCAATTTGAAAAGACCGATCATATAGTAGCTAGGAATGTCAAAATTTTTGGTCGAATATATCATAAGGTGGGACGATCGGAATGTGACACGTAATCAGCCACCCCAAGATTTTGCATCATATACACTATGCTTAGTGTAGATATAGATAAAGGAAGGAGAAAAGGGATTAAGAATCAAACTTTTTTAGGTCCCTTCAAACAAAAATTGATATTATAAGAAAATTAAAATTCTATAATTATTCAGTTTTTGGAGGAAAATAATTTTTTTTTGTCGGGGAAAAATCATAACATAACTATTCGATCATAAAAATTTTCAATTTTATAAAAAAAAAAATACAGTAATTTAAAATTTTGGCTAAATTACAAATTTGGTCCTCGTAAATTTAAAAATTAGAATTTTGCCAGTTTTTAACGCTAAATGTGGAGATGAGGATTGGAACGGTTAGATCGAGATGAAATTTGAATTTGAAGTTATTATTATTTTTTTAAAAAAAATTACATAATATAAAGGAAATTAAAAGAAAATGGCACATATTTAAAACTATTTAGTAATATTCTGGCAATAAGGCTAATACCCCACATTTTGTTGCATATATTACTTGTTGATATATATATATATATATATATATATATATATATGGATTGAGGGAGCAATTCCAACCGGTGATTATCATTACAAGATGCCCACTTCCATCAATTTTTATTCCACTAATAAAGTAGAATTAATTCATAAAATATAATTTAAATATAATTAGCACTCGGGATTTTCAATTTTAGGTTATAGAACTGAATCTACATGAGCATAATTTATTGGTAACCAATGGGAATTTACCAAATCTCCATCTCACCCAATGCCCGTTGCAATGCTAAATATTCTCGAATTAGCGTTGGACTACACGTAACTATCCATGCATGAAAAATAGGTTACCTTTTAAGGATGAGGCGTATTGAAGCATGAAATTCAAAGGTAACCCTTTCACGATGGCTCTTCGACTATGTCTTGAGCCACTTTTTAAATATTTTTTTAATTAAATAATATTTAAACGAATATTCGGGAAAATATAAAAAAGAATATTGGTATAAATTACGATATATGTACGTAGTTGGAAAGTTGCACACAGTATCGCCAACTTATCAGAGATTCCAAAGGAAAAAAAAAGAAGAGAAAGTGAAGAAGCCTTTCATGTCGATGCCATTTATTTATTTAAATTTAAATTTATTTTATAATATATTGATATCAGCAACCTATCTTTAAGAGAATAATATATTTTTCTTTTTCCTTTTATTTAGGTGAAATAAAAAAAATATTATGAGTTTTATACTTATATTTATTAAACTTATATCATAATTAAATAAAAGTTATGGCACATGCATTTAATTTATAATTTGGGCTCTTTTTAATAATATTTTTTCAGTGTAATATTACAAATATATTTAAATTTCACATAAAAAAAAAAAGAAAAAAGAGAAGATAAATTGGCATAATTTTGGGGACCTCAAAAATAAATAAATAAATAAATAAATAAATGTACGGCTCTTTTTTTTTTTTTTTGTTTTGTTTCTCTCTCGTACTTTTGGGTGGCAGCAATGGACATGCAGAGATTTGAAAGCGAGTTAAGGCTCAGCTAATTTGTCCTTTCTTTAACCTAAAAAAACACAACAAAAAAGTCAACCTTTTATTGACCAAATACCTTTCCAAATTATGTCGATTTAGGTCAATTAGCGAAGACATTATAGATTTATTTGTTTATTAAATTTACTATAAGCAAATGTCACTAAAAGTTATAGATGTCATTTTAGGACACATACAAATATAAATAGCGATCTATTGAAAGCGAAGACTTATTAAAAAAAATGTTACTTTACGAGAGAAGTCATTTGGTCGAGTTTCTGCGAGTTCATCCCAAACAAATGAATCCCTTCTTTCTAAGTGTTTTAGATATGTAGATAAAATATCGAGAGCTATCAATAATGTACTAAAATTTAGCCCGTCTGTCAAACTTTACTAGTTTTGATTGTTGAATGAATTTTTTTTTTGGGAAATTAAATTAGAATATTAAAGGTAAATGTAAATGTAAATGCAGTAGGAGAATAGCATAAATTATTGACTTGAAATTTGGTAATTTTATGGTGTTAATCGTAAGGGCTAAGAATTGAAGGGTCTAGAGAATTCTTTGGGGGAAAATGAAAAAGGAAGAAAAAAAAAAGGACATTGTTCTTCATTTGGATGCGAATCCAAAAAATTAAATAAATAAAAAAGAAAAAAAAGGGATATTTTTTAAATGGATAAATCCAAAAACTTTCTCCAGCTCAATAGATGCCCCAAGATAGGGATAGCAGCAAAATCTTTCTTTATAAAAGAAAATAGAATTTTAAAAAATAAAAAATAAAATTTCTATATATTGTAGAATTGACTTATAAAGAAAATAATAATAATAATAATAATAATAATAATAATGGTTTTGTTAATAGTTAATTGGATTCTTTGTTCTTTATGGATGTGGGTGTCTAATTTGGGAAATCAAAATCAAAACCTCTGAAGGGAATTCCCAAATCTAATAAAGCTTGATTTCATTCCAAATAATATATTAAAAGGAACCAAATTTTGATGACATACATATAAATAGATAAATCAACCAATCAAACACATTTTTTAAAATAAAAATAAGGTGTTATCGGCCCATATATTTTGTAATACACATGCCTTCCATTATTTTATATTGGTTTCTCAATTCACACAACCCATATATTTTGACGGCATCTCAAGTCATAGGGTGTTATTGGCCATCGCAGCTCACTCGGTCATGTCATTGAGAACAGACCCACGTGTCGTTTACAACATCGAGACATCACAAACATCTATCCATGCATTGGTCCACCCATGCCCATGCCATGTCATTTACGGATACCTTACTAGATAGCGAGTGCATAATTCAACCTTTAACACTCGAGTTAGGGCGCAATACAGGCATACCTATGCCACAAGGTACTATCCTTGAAAGACCCATTACAAAAGAAGTCGCTCAAGACACTCGTCTCATAATACTCGTCCTCATTGTGACACACGCATGTGTCGTAGGATAGCTTGCTTGGCCTAAGAGTGGTGGAGGGTTGACACCTTGTTTCTCCCAATAGTACAATATTTTCAATGCTTCTTGTGTAGATGTCATTTTGGCAGATAGTCACACAATGTTGTGGAGCTTCCGTCGGACTTGACTCCAGAACTGTTATACTCGGGTTAGGGTTAGTGTTAGTTTTATTTGACAAGAGAAGAAAATGCAGATAAATAAAAATAAAGGAGAAAATAAATTGATTTGGATGGTGAAAAAGATGGGAGAAAAAGGAAATTTGATCTGATTGTAAGAGGAACTCAGAAGTACTTAATGTAAACCGTACGAAGGACACGTCTCTCTTAGTTTATTCTTTACGTTTATGCAAAGATTCGAAGCTGTGAGCATTTTCAATCCCAACATGGTTGCATAATAAGCCTTCCCTTCAAAAGAGTGGCTTCCAAGTCTCCACGTCCTTCACAGTTCCCTTATAAATACCCCTTTTGGCCACTTCATTTCTCACCGACCTTTTCTTTCTTCTTCTCTTAGGTTCTACGTTGGTTTGTAATTCTATTTTCGAAATTGTTTTCAAGTTAGCAATGGAGACCGTAAACAAGTTGGTGTTAGACAGGCCTGTCGTGGTGTTCAGCAAGAACAGTTGCTGTATGAGCCACACTGTCAAGTCACTCTTGTGCGACTTTGGAGTTAACCCGACGGTGTACGAGCTCGATGAGCTCCCGGGGGGGAAAGAAATCGAGCAAGCTCTCATTCGGATCGGTTGCAGTCCTGCCGTGCCTGCAGTGTTCATCGGCGACCAACTGATCGGTGGTGCGAATGAAGTGATGAGCCTTCATCTTAAGCGGAACTTGATCCCCATGCTTAGAAGGGCTGGAGCTTTGTGGGTTTAAGTTATATCTATAAATGTAACTTTAACATAGCCAAGCTTTACCTTAGGCGTCCGACCAAAATGGCAGAGAGTTTACTTCAAAAAGTCCTTTTTTTTTTTTTTTTTTTTT